GTCTTACATCAGTGGGTAAAACCTCTCATCCCACGTGCAGACCCAGCCACCCCTGCCTGTGCCTGGTCCTGCTGCTGTCAGACTGGTCACCCATCCTGCCACGTCTGGTCCCCCAGGGGCTGTCCCCACCAGCGAGGAAGTGTGGCCCGTGTGTGGATGACTGTCTGTGCAGGCAGCAAGCTTGTTGAAAAGGGAAGTCACCTTTTCTTCTTTAGTTCATGAGACCAGAAATATGAGTTGTTTGTTTTTTTCTTCACCCCTGGGCAGAGAGATCTCAGGAGTGGATTCTGGCAGGACTGGCCGCATGAGGAGGAGCTCTTGTAGCCCTCCTGCCTGCTGGGTGGCAAATCCTCCTGGCTGGCAGGCTCAAGCGAGCGAGTGCTCTCAGGCAGCTGCTGTTCTCGGGAAGCTGTACTCTGTCTGCTCCACAACGTATGGAACACTTTGTAAGGAGTGATGAAATCCAAGCCCAGGCTGCCAGGCAGGTGGAGCGGTGACCGTGCTGCCTGCAAACGCCCTTCTGGGAATCCCGGGCTCTGCTCTCCTTGATTGTCATGTAGCACGTTGGGAAATGTCCTCGGTTTCCTGGCTCCGTGCTGTGAGCAGCCCTCGTGCTGTCAGCAGCCTGAGCCCCCCGGGCTGCCTGGGAGCAAGGGGGAGCTGAGCAGCACACCCAGCCCTGCTGCTGCGGCTGACGGGGCGGCGGGAGAGCAGCGGGTCCCCCCAGCCACCCTCGGAGGAGGGCTGACCTGTTCCAGGGGCACAGAAACACATCTGAAACCTCCTGATGGGAGATTCTGCAGCTCAAAGGAAAATAGTGTGGCAGAAGGGAGGCTGAAAATTGGACTGAAAAGCAAACACATGAATAACTGCTGAAGAGCCCAAAACCAGCTTTGGCTTGGACAAACCTCCTGTTCCTGTGCTGAGGCTCTGACACCTCTTATGTTGTTTTTCTGTTTTCACAGTGATTTGTGTCAAGGTCTGAGCCCTTGGCTAATGGGCTTGCTACACCCAGCAGGCCACAGGCTGCTCTCAGGGGGAGGTGTGATTGCTCTCCCTGAACACATCAGGAGGTAGAAACTCCCCACAGAGAAGAGGTGTTGAAGGAAAGGATGGTATCAGTGCAGGCACAAATGGCCCAACGGCTGCAACTCGATTTAGGATGGGAATGAATTGTTTGTAGTCGTGCCAGTCCAGCCGAGCATCTGCAGCAGCCCGTCGGTTAGAGGGGAAGGGTGGGGTGCTGGGGTGCTCCTGGTGAGGGCATCGTGCAGCACACGGGCCGTGGCGAGCGGGGAGCCCAGTGAGGTGCAGACCCCAGGCCTTGGGG